CATCAAGAGAAGAAATACAGTTGCTTTCTGATTCTATCCTGCAAATTCTACTTGTTCAACAAGAGTTACACAGAGCAATAGAAAAAGACAGAAAAAAAAAAAGAAAGAAAGAAAGGCTTTGCCAAAAAACAGAGAGGAGTATCCTAGTGAAGTTAAAATTGCGGATGCATAGAATGTCCCTGGTCTGGTACAATATACAGACATGCAGGGCCTTCAGGGACACACAAAGGGACCACTGAATGGTCCAAAGACTTTTTTTCCCTTAATGTTTAAATTACTATCTTTTATCAATAACATTTATATCTACTCTCCCTACTCAAAACTGAAATCATCCATTAATAGTTGATATTAAGATATCTGATCTTACTGTGGACACCACTAGGAGCTTTGGAGGAAGGCAGGGAACAAAAACGTCATAGAGAAGTCCAAGGTAAATACTGAGTTGGAGAAGTGGAATGTTAGGGCCAAAATTCGAAAATGAGAGAATGAGACAGAGACAGGGCCACAAAGAGAGATCCAGCAAGCCAATGAAGATGCCCAGCTGACACTGACAAAAATAGGAACTCACATGGATGGTGAGCATTTATGGGGTACTCCTCACATATAGTGTCTTCAATCTTTACAACAACCCTGAGTACAGTGAGGCTGTATAATGGATGAGGATGTAGGTTTTGCACTTGGAAAGGTGCCTGGCACATTATGAGCAATCAACATAAATTATATGCTATCCTTAGACAAGAGCTACTATTGTATCATTTTATAGAGGAGAGAATCGAGACTTAGAATGGTTAAGTAAATTACTAGGCATCATTTGCTAAGTAAAGGATGAAAGCAGGATTTCAACCCAGGAATCTGACTGCAGGGTCCTTGCTCCTAACCCCTAACCTATGCCAGGCTTTGACACTCAGCCATCTCCCCTCCCCACCTCTCAGATCTGAGACCCAGCCCCCTACAAAGCCTGTTCAGTGTTTCATCTCAGTAGTGCTTGCTGCCAGCCCCCTGCCCACCAAACCCTAAGCCAAACATGAGGCTGGTATCTGGGATACTAAACATAGCACTGCCTGGAGTGTTGATGATGTTTAGAGACCTTTTCAGGAGACTGAAAAGATGATGGACAAATTGTGTCCAGTGAGTGATATACTTTCATTCAGTGCAAACTTCTTGAGCAAGAAGTAGGAGAGAGAGGAAGATGACAACACCTAGTAGAAATCACTGCATCTTTTGACATCATTATCACAAATGACTACCTTCTCCACATCTAGATTGCTAGCTTTGGTCCAGAGCCAAACAGCTGGTGGAGCTGGGTGTCCTGAGATGGGTGTGGGAACTGCTTCTCAACAGCTTTGGGGAGATAGAGCTCATGAAAAGAAGTATGGATTAAAGAGGAAAATATTATGAGTATAGTGGACTGCACCAAGACTATGGCTCTAACACCAATCATCCCAGTGACAGGGACTTAAATTCTGGTATACCCGCCCCTTTCATTTAGGCTATTTGGATTTTAACTGAATATGGCTTTCTTCATCCTTGAGAATAGCACATACACCCTGTATGGGGGTTTGCCATCCTCCCTGTCCCTCTTCTTTGCTCTGCCCCATCCTTTCTCAGTACCGGCTCATGCTCATCTTTTAACACATAAGAGGGGTTCAATGTTGTCCACCATACAGAAAGCCAATTACTGAAACAATGAGGATTGTTAAGGAGGAAATAATTTATTTCTGTGGACGCATCAACAGGGAGGGGGAGGTTATGAATTGCCTCAAATCCGCCTTCCCAACCAACAGGGTCAGTGGGGGTTTCTGTAGGTGAAATGAATAATGCAGGAGGGGAATGAGCATCATTATGTGTTTGGGGTGGAGTGCAGAGCACGCAAGCACAGTGAGAAATCATGCTAGTACATATGTCCTATGATCCAAAAATGGCGGATAAGTCCCTCCCAGGGCGGGGATTTTAGTATTACAATGAGCTAAGGGTTAATACTGGTCATTCTTTCAGCCTTGTGCACAGGCTCAGTGGGTCTTCAGGCATGGTCTGCGATGGAGTGTCGCTTATCTTGTCCTCTCCAGACACTCAGGTGGTGTGAGGCTTCGTAGGAGGTTCCGCCATTCCTGGGAAAGAACCTCAAAAGAGAATGCATCAGTACAACAGAAAATTACAAAGTTGTGGTCAGCAAATTTTACTGAGAGTTCTCTATTTTCTGCCTAATTTGAGACCGTAGCTGCTAAGCTACCAGGGCTGCAATAAATCTTGCTGTCAAGGCCACTTAGAGCTGCCCACCCCTGCCATAATGTGAACACTGAAAACTCATTTGAAATATGAGGGAACTAAAAACACTATTAAAAAAACATTTTCTTGCTTATAGAATCAGTTACACATTCACCCAGTAAACACTTGTTGGACTGAAATGAACTCAAGGTCTCGGATCTGCCCAGTGACACAAGGGCCAAAGCCATATTTCCAATAAACACCCAAGAGGCTCTACTGTAACCACTTAGCTCTCCCAGACTTAATCTCCTGTCCTCTAGCAAAGACCTGTTCTCCTTCTCCTTGGGTCCCATTAACGGTAACCCTACCATCTTGAAACCTGAGAGCCATCTTCAATTTTTACTCCTTCATTTTCTGCACAGAGACAGTAACCAAGTCTCCCGCATCTGCTTCTCTGACGAGGTTTCTCCTATGTGTGCCCTGACAGCACCACCAGCTCCCTTCAGATGTGGAGATTTTTATAATTTCTTTCAAACAGGCTGATTCTACCTTCACTTTACAGCCCCATCTCCCAATATGTTCCCATTTTGCTGTCAGAAATATCTTTCAACACTTAGACACAACCATATGACAGTTTTAATCAAAAGTCACTCGTGATCCATCTGTGATGATTGCCAAGAATAAACCTCCTAGACCTGAGTGCAGGCACCGTGTGTGTGAGCACCTCACCTTTCCCACACCAGCTTCCCACCACCACCCCGGGGGCGTCCCTATTCCAACCACAAAGACCCACTGGCCTGTCTTTGAAATGGCAAAGAAGGGACTGTCTGAAAGGCAAACCTTTCTGCTCTAAGACAGGACCTGGGGTGAACTCAACTGGTCAGGAGCATTCAGGAGCATTAGATTGAATTTTTTACAATGCACAGCATTTGCCTTTGCTATCAAGGGATAAGCTGCTCCCTGATTGAAAAAAATACCACAGAGCCCCCAAAATAATGAATTTATTGAAGGACATTGAGAAAAAGAGCTAAAATAATCCTTGGACTTGGGCCAGAGAATGTGGGGTGGTAGGAAGAGGCTTCAGAATCTCAGATTAGGAAAAAGAAGGAGAGGAAATTAAAATGGCTGTGATCGATCCAGGGCTGCTTTCCTAGAAAGATGGGGAAGGGGCAAGTTCAGAAGAGTTAAACTTCAGGAGCTGGGGGAGGAGGTGGAGACCAAGTGTCAACAGTGAGCCAGCTTTTCTGTTCCAAGTGACAATGAGCCGCCAATCCTCAGGGCTCAGGAGTCTTCACTGCAGCCTCATTTCACCAGTAAGATTTGGAGGGAGACTGGGAGGGGGTGGGACAGCCAAGGGGATGATTATCCATAGCTCTATTCTCATGACAGGGGCTGGAATTGAGCTGGGAGCTCTGGAGTCACACAACAATTGCTACTCAATGATGCTGTGATGAGGTCACAAGAGGAGCTCGCCCCTGCCCCCAGCCCCCGCTTCCTCAGAGCTGAGCAAAGGAACCAGAGGGACAATCCACCTTCCCGGCACAGTCGTACCACCCACCTCACTCACTCGACTGCTTGTCAAGTTCATTACCAACACAAAGGGGTGAGTTGCATTTGGACAACTGGAAATGGCCACTCTTTTACGGCTCCTGTCCTGGGAGTGACCTGCAGCACCCTAGGCACTGAGCAGGGCTGGGAGGGTCATGTTTGAGTGAAAGTTTTCTGTCAATTTTGATAGCAAGAACTGGGGTGTGCTTCACCTTGGACTAGACTTTCAACAATTTTAGGGTCCAGTTTAATGATCTGCCTCCCTGGAGAGTCAAACTGATTTTAAAACTCAATTAGAGGTTCCATTTTTATATTATTAAAGGAATTAGATCCAATTAGATCCAACTTGAAGTATTGTCAGTGACTAAAAATCCCTGCCCATATCTAGAAGTTAAACTGTCAGTACAGAAAGATCTAGCTCAGAGCCAAACTCAACAGAGGAGGAAAGGAATTCCCCTCTGAAAGTCATATTTTGTGGCTCTAGCATTCATATTTTCAGAGAAATTAAAATTTCCCAATTTATGTTTTTCTCTCCTGATTTCTTCCCTTGCCCTAATCATCTGGCAGAACTCTGACAGAGACGATGGAGGGGGCAGTTGCAGAGAAGTCCACGAAAACCCAGTCGTGGCAGGGATGCAGTTATCCTCCCTTCCCAAGTTCTTGAGTAAAGAACGCAATTCTCAAGGCTGTGTCCTTAGGGAGGACACAGGACTGAAAGTGTCCTGGGTCCCTAAGTCTGATAATATGCTTCCCATCTATCTCCAGAGAGGTAGTGACCTCAGGTAGTGTGACCAGAGGGAAGGGACGCTAAAGAAGTTCTTTGAAACCTTTGGATGCTTTGAGCAGTCTGATCAAACCTAAGGATTTCTTGGAATATTGTTTTTATATAAATTAAATGAAACATATGGAGTGACAGAAGATGCCAACTACACTGTAGTTCCAATGGTTGGGGGTGGGTAGGAGGGTCCCCTAGGTTAAGAACTCCTGCTAGAGTCTGCGGAATGCAAAACAGGGATACCTGCACACAGAACAGAGTAAGGGTGGAGAGTTGAAGAAGTACTGTCACACCCCATACAAGGACAGGGACAGCCCTAAATGAGAAAATGATCTAGAGCCTGAAATGTCCCAGGAAAGGCTTTCTTAAGATGAAAGATGGGCAGGAGGTGTGAGCAAGAAGCCTGTATGGGTCCTCTCCCACCTGCAGCCTATCTCATATTTCTTTGCAGGGCTCAGATAATCAAGAAACAATGTCGAGTGACAATAAAAATAAACCTAGTGAGCCCAAGAATGAGCCCAAGAACTGCGATCCCAGGTGTGAACACAAGTGTGAGGCCAAATGCCAGCCCAGCTGTTTAAAGAAGCTCCTGCAACGCTGCTCTGAGAAGTGCCCACGGGAAAAGTGTCCAGCACCACCAAAGTGCCCCTCACCGTGCCCCCCACCGTGCCCTGTGCTGAGCCCCCAACCATGCCCACCACCCTGCCCTCCCAAGCCCTGCGCCAAGCCTTGTCCTTCTAAGTGCTCACCCCCCTGTCCACCTCCCTGTCCACCTGCCTGCCCACCTCCAGAGTGAGGCACCGTGGGCACCACCCAAGCCCTCCACCGCCACCATCTCCACTGTGTGCAACACCATGGGGCTGGAAACTGAGACCATGAACTGACAAGTAAACGTGTTCCCCTGCTGTGCAAGACCTCTGGTGTTTCGGTGGGTTTTGGTTTATTGTGTTGATTTCCAGCACGAAACCATCCATAAACAATCCCCAGGAAGTGAGGCGAGAACCCTCCACTATCCACGACCTTTGAGGAATGGCTTTCCCTCTGAGTCCTCCTGCTGCTTAGAGGGAGGGGCCGTGTTCTGAATGGTGTACCCAGAAAACGCAGGCCTTGTTAGAGCAAAGCCGAGAGATCCGTAAACATGGCTGCAGCTGTTAAAAGTGTCCAAACCCAGGAAGCGGGATGGAGAGGATACGAGAGGGAAGAGGAGTGGGACATTGGTAAAAGGTCCAGGAAGGCTCAGGAAAAAACTTTCTACCGCCTTGGCTGTTAGTCCTATTGCACAATGCTTGGGCAAGCAGGCTTTGAGTACTGGCCACATGGGTTTAATTAAATTCTAGCTCTGCTCCCTACTAACTTTGTGTTTAAGAAATTGTTTAACTTCTCTGTGTCTCAGTTTCCTTCTCTGCAAAAGGAATGATGATGCTAATAGTACTGTTGTCACAGGGTTGCTGTGAAGCTTAAAGAGCTAACAAATGCTAGGTGCCGGGTTTACTGGGACTTAGCAGTCGGTGAAGGGAGCACCCTGCACCTGTCCAGCTGTATCACTCATCACACTTGAACTTCATTGCTTCAGGCACCTGTTCTTAGCCTGTAAGTCTCCTGAGCATGACAGTCAGGCTCCAACTCACACCTGCAAGCACACAGGTAGACATTCTTTTAAAAAGAAATGAAAAAGGACTTGTGGATTGTACCAATGTCAGTTATCTGGCTTTGATACTAAACTGCAATTATGTAACATGTCACTATGGAATGAATCTCACTGAAGGGTATGTCAAACCTCTATTTTTGCAACTTTCTGTGATTCTCTAATATTTCAAATAAAAACTTAAGTACAAAAATGTAGAGATATTTTACACATCTTGGAGGACCTCAATTAGGTAAGAACAAGGAAAGCATTCACAGCTGATATGTTAGTGGGGATTATTTATAAGCAGTGAGAGTCCACATTAATTCACAAAAGGGAATGTATCAGTTCACGTTGCTGAGAAGGATATTGGGACGGGGAGGAGAATTAACGAGAGAACAGTAGGAACCTGAAAGCGTGGACCTGCCCCTACTATCTCAGTGTCCCTCCTCTCCACCAGCCTCCACTACCCCTCAAGCTGTGTCCCTTCCTCTCCTAGTGCCCCCTCCATGTGAAAAGGTCCTTGGCCAGCTGTACACCCAGTTTGTTGACAGTTTGGGCACAAGGACACTTCTGTTATCTCCAGGAGAGGAACCTGACTGCCTAGACGGTCATGAGCCCACCCCGGTGGCCAAGCAGATGACAGAGCCTTGCCACACAGACAAAACCAGTCGTGAGTTATTACAGTCCACAGCACTCAAGGGGAAACAGGGCTAGGAGTTTCTGCTATCACAGTAAGAGGTAATGAAGGAGGCCACGTCTGGGAGGGCTCCCTAGGGGATCATGGCACATAACCAGCACATGGCACATAACTTTCCATCCTTCTGGGCCTGGGAGACGGCTCGGGACAGCAAAGCATGAGGCAAGTACCAACAGTCCAAAATGTGCCAACAAAAGGCACCTGGGACCCCCGCCAGACGGAGGTCACGTCATCGCTAATACAGAAGCAGACTTTTAGAACAAGAACGCGCGAGCTAGGCAAGGCCTTTAAGGTGCCACCCCATCGTTTTCCAGACGTAACATGGGGAGGCTTTGGGGACTCAGGGTCTCCTGGCAGGGACGGGAGCTGAGCACTGAGGTTCTCACACTCTAGACTCCAGCAGAGAGGCGGTCGCTGGACACGGGTGTAGGGCACTGGGGACTCTGGTCAACAATTTAAATATCTAGCAAGATTTGACTAAATGAGCTTGGACCTATTACTTGTTGAAACATTATGCAGTCACTAAAATGTATTAAAGAGAAAAAAGTAAGGCTTCGATTGAACATATTGCATAAAGATGAGTGCATAGAGCAATCATCTTTAACCAAAAGCTTCCATGAATAATAACGATAATCACAACAGAAGGAAATTTGTGGACAGTCTCGTTATTTTAGGACAATGGGGTTATGTGTAACCAGTAAAGTATTTCTATTTTCACTGGTTTCTGGAATTTCATTAATGTGCTTTTCATTTTTTTATAATAGCGTAAAAAAGAAATAATCACGAGATAATAAATAATTCATGAAATAATCACGAATACTTCAGAGACCCCCAAAGTCTTTCCTTTTACTCAATGTACAAAAAAAAGGAAGAAAGGAAGGAAGAAAGTTGTGGGGATCTCACCCCATGTAGAGGGGACCTCACCCCGGGTGCCTTCCCTCCAGGCATAGGGTCTCAGGTCCCAGGCCTCCTAGTGGCTCTTTGGGAGTGTGAGTCAGGGGCTGTGCCTCCAGGTGGCTCTGAGAACTCTGGGCACAGACTGGGAAGAGGCCAGCTCTGAGAACATGAAACCAACCACTGCCAATTTAATTCTCCTTTCTCCCATGTAAATGAAACCAAAGATAGATATCTCTTAATGGCTACTTTCCCAGCAAAGAGCTGGATCAAAGGCAATCCTGGGAGATGGCTAGAACGTGATGATGGTTCCATTTCCCTGCAGAATGCCATAATTATCGCTAGCCCCAGCGGCAGCCACGGGGCTCTGCCCCACGCGGTAGAGGGTTGTATAAATAAGCAGCACCTGAAGACCGCATCACGAGCACCTGTGCAGCGCCAGGCTCGATGGCTCCCAGATAAGGAGATGGAGCAGTGCCAAGGCCTCTCCTTTCATGGCAAAGCAGTTCTGACAGATCACAAAAGGAGCCTCTGTCACAGACCCTCTTGCCTTGTGCTTTCTCCAGAAAGTACAGCTGGCCTTGAAAAAGGGCCTCTAAGCACTCCCAAAGCAGGCCTGGGGTTCGGGAGGCGACTGGCCGAGGGGTGGGCCAGTGCTGTGAGTGGGCTGGACACGGAATTACGGAACATCTGGCTTTGAAGCTGGAAGGAGGGAACCTTTGAGATCACTTTCTTGCATCCCCCACCTCCACGTGTGAGTGACAACCGGGAGACAGCAGGAAGTAACCAGTTACCAAACCTGCCCTATATTTCCAGTCCTGCTTCCACGTGACCAAATATTCAACACGAGCATAGTCACATTCTGCAAGGCTTTATTGATGCTAAGTCATATCAGCTTCTACGTCACAGCTGTTAATGTTCAGCAAATAAACAGATCAGTAAATACATTAAGTCGTTTGCCAACCACATAAAGACTTTAAGATACAAACTGATCGTAAAATGCATACCAGGATTTTTTCAGCTGCAGCTGTCTTCCAGGTGTGTGAAACCTCAGATGTCTCATCTCCAGAGCTATGTGCGCTCTCCCAGCCTCGAAGGAAAGTCTGCTCAGGCCCAGAATTCTTGGTTTTTCCCCCCGGAATTGCCTTCTTGTTTTTTCCCTTGTACCACTCAACCCTCCTAACTGGCTTTTGAAGTTCGTCTTCCTCCAGTCCTGACTCCAGTGGAAGATAGCCAAGACAGTCTTGCTAAAACTCAAATTTATACAGGACACTCTTGCTTAAAACTCTTAAGATTCTCCCCTTTGCCTAGAGAGCAGCTCAAATGACAACCTGTTGTACAAAAGTCTTCAGGATCTGGCCCCTGCCTCCTTCTCTAGCCTGTTGTGTCATTTCTGCACTTCCTTCTAGAATTTTGCAGCCCAGTAACAGGTAACTGCTGGCATTTCTTGGCACTCAGCAGAGAATGTCTCTGGCTTTCGTGACTTTGCACTCACTTCTCTATCATTCTTCCCTCCTCCCATGAATTCTCCTCTGAACGACCCACCTGGGCAAAATCCTCATCCTTTAACTCAACTCAGGGGTCACCTGCTCCAAGAATCTTCCCCCCTCCCACCCCAGGCTGGTTAGATGCCCCTTGCTGTAGTCTCAAGAGTATCATGCCGTCCTCTCCTGTGACACTTACCAGGCCATATTCTGGTCATTTGTTTATGATCTGACTGCCCCACTAGCCTGTAAGCTCTTTGAGAAGGGACAGCCAGGCACACATAGCAGACATTCAGTAATAATAAATGAGTGGATGCTCAGTGGCTTTGGCGGCACTTTTCCAAAGAGGAAGGGGCTGCTCGGGGCTGCGCCCCATCTGTTGTGCTCCTTAACCTCACGGAATGGAGTCATCCCCAGAATGCAGCAGTGGAAAGCGGGGAGGGGACTGAATACGGGTGGCCTGGGGCTGAGAGAAGGCAGCCCTGGCCCTGCTCACAATATTGTCCTTGGCCACTTTCGCCTTTGGCCATAAGATGCAGATCCTGCCAGCCCTCCTTCTGGCCTCACCAGGGCGACGCAGCCTCTTCAGAGCAGGTCTCTCACCTTGGAAGGCAGCGTGGGCAAGGCAAAGGGCTTGACACCACACAGACCGGGGTTCAAATGCAGCTCTGCACCAACCAGCTGCAAAGCCCTACAAGTTGTTTCACCTCAGTGGGAGAAGGGGTCTTGGTGTCTTCACCCAAAGAATGAGAAGAAAAGTGTCACTAAGGGATGAGAGTGGGTGACGAAGTGAGATAATTGTGCCAAGTCCCTGGCATGGGAAACTGAACTTAGAAATCCAAGATGCCTATAACACCCAGCACCTAGGTCCACGCCCATCATAACCCATCGCCTTCTACAGCAAGTCTTGCCATCTGCCGTGAGAAGTAGTGGGTTTGAGGGAGAAAAGGGGAGTTCCGGGAAAGGATGACAAACATCTCTGAAGCAAATAGAGTTAGGGGGCCATCCATCCGCTCCACCCCATTTCCAAGTTGGGCCCACAGTAGGAACCAGAAGGAGACTTTGTGTCACTGAATATCGGAGCTGCATGTGGC